ATATTAAAAGTGCTCACCACTCTCCACAGGTTTCGCCCTTCGATATAGATGGGCCAGCTGATTTGGCGATGCCTAATTACTGTCTGCAACGCACCTTACATGACACAGGTAATTCTCTTCTTCGTCAACAATCCTCTATTTCCTATTCTCCTAACAGTCAATCTTCTTTACGCCACAACTTGAAAATATGACTGACCCCCTCTTCACTTATGGCTTGTCCAGCGCATCTACAGACATAGACATTTCATTGTCGCCTCAGAACACTATGATTGAATCTCATCACCAGCTACTTCAAGACATGGCTAAAATATTAAGATATAACTCGCCTAATCCTAACATAGTTCTTATTAATGCCAGGTCAGCTGTAATTAAGATGGCATAAATCCAATCCGTACTATTGATTAGCCAACCTACAGCGCTAATGATCACTGAAGCTTGGTGCACAAGTGAAATAAATGATGATTTATTTCACTGCAAAGGTTGCTCATTTTTCAGAAAGAACAGATCGGTTGGTCGATGTGGAGGATGCATTATCTATGTTAGATCTGACTGCAGAGCTGTACACTACAATCAACCCAACCTGAATATATGCGATACATTATTGGTGACACTCTACATCAATAAATAGCGAACCCTGTTATTAGGTTGCATCTATCGCCCACCCAACCACGACAGTGAACTGCTAGATGAAATAACTGCAGCCTTTCATTACACTTCGAAATTAAACTTCACTTACAAAGTCATTGGGGGTGATTCTAAGACGCCTGAAGTCTCACGGGAACCCGCAATTGCTCCTCCCAGATACAGTAAATTCTTAGATGCAGTGAAGTCATGTGGGTGGACACAAAGTATTCTAAGGCCCACCCGAAACCACAATATGCTGGACTTAGTTTTCTTGAAAGACATCGGCGTATCTACTATAGACATCAGCCAACCATTTCCAGGTAGTGACCAGAACACCGTAATTTACTCCTTCGATACCAAGCTCCACTCAATAAAACGATGTACCCTGAGCAAAACATTCATGTCCTCCGGAAAAGCTGGGTGGGAGGTATCTAACTCCTTCTTTCGAAGCGTAGACTGGGAACTGTTCTTTTCCAGTAGCGACCCAAACACTATTCTACTAGCCTTTTACCAGAATGCACCTGTATGCTTTGATAAACGTCTTCCTAAATGTAAAGAGAACCCAAGCCAAAACATAAAAAGCTTCATTCCTAGAAAAGTAAAGGCTAAGCTGCACCGAAAGCACCACACAGAAAGCGACTTCTCGTGTCTTGTGAATGTACAGAACACTTACCTCAAAATAAAAGAAAATAACGACAAAGTCCTACTTGGACAAGAAAATGCAGCTCTTTAAGATAGCTCTAAATAACTGCAATCTGTGGTCCTTATCGCAAATGGCATATACCATTCATTTTAGAAAATGGTGAGACTGCTACTGAGTGATGTATAGGGAAACTCTGATTAATAAATAAAAAGGGATATGTATCACTAAATAGTAATACTTGCTCAAAGCTCCCGACTGTCTATGTCTTCTTATGGTGACGTTAGGAAATATTTTACAACTATTTCCCCCCCACACACACTCTGTTTAAAGTGTTTAACCAAGTTAGACCAATATTTGTAAGTCCGAGGTCAAATTTTGTTCACAGCTCATACAATTTGTTTATTTTATGTCTCGTGATTGGACAAAGTTTTATAAACCGCTGTCATGTTAATTTCGATCAATTTCCCTGAAGAAGTTCGGACCAGATTGTCGAACGAAACGTTGGAATTACTCATTTCAATCTCGCTGAGATTTTACAGATATAATTTTTACAAATGCTACTGAGTGACCCTAAACTAATTGGTGAGCTACTAAGCTCCTACTTCACGCAGTCCTATGCCTAGGATAATAATACGTCGCCACAACCTCCATTTCCCCTACATTCACAAAAGTCTCTAGAAATTATCAGATTTTGTTTAGATAATATTTAGGAATCAATCGCTCCTCTTAAAAGTTCGAACAACCCTGGTCCTGATATGATCCCCTCAACTTTTTTAAGATACGGTGGTGAGGACATTCCCATTCCTTTTCTAAAGTGTTCTCTTTCTCTCCATCAACTTGGACATATCTAGAGGCATGGAAAACTACGCACACTACCCATGGTATAAGTCAGGCTTCTGTTCAAGTGTCATAAGTTACAGACCCATAGCGTTCAGTTTTGGTGTAACAAGTGGAGAATGAAGTTTAACGTTGGAAAGTGTGGTGTGCTAAGCTCCAAAAACATTTTCATCCGAACTTTCTATCTCCCTACACAACATTCATACTCCTCGTCTGTCGCTTACAACAGATTTGGGTTTGAAATACACCCCAGAATTTAGCCTGACGGAATATGTTAAATTAGAAGTATGAAATGTCAAAAGGCTCCTTGAGTTTTTGTTCCGAAACTTTAAGAAGTGTGAATCCAAAATTATGCTGTACAAGTTATGCATAAGGTCCTTACTTGAATTTTGTCCTGTCCCCCTATCATGGACAGTGTCTCCGTAAAAGACAGGTGCGAATCAGAAAGTCTACAAACGGCGTTTACTAAACGTCTAGTTGGTGAAAATCTTCTCATTTCTTACTGCGACAGATGTAACATATTCGACTTGGAACCATTATGGATCAAACAATTGAAGTTCAACCAAAAAATTATATTTAGGATTACTAAAGGGCTTATACGTCTCCCCCACAATGACTTTACTTTTAGTTCACCTAAGAAATATAACCTAAGAAATAAATCTCCATCTTTTAAAGTGTCCCGCTGTCATACAAAATACACATCCAACTACTTCACAGTGAAATACCGTTGTATTTGGCACCGTCTTCCAGCTGAAATTAGAAACAGTTCTGCGCCAAAATCTTCTCATCTCTGGTGGACAAATATTCTATCCACAACTGGTTAGAAGCGGTATGTGACGAACTACAAGTCGGAGATCTTATACGGCACTCCTATGACCCTCACTGTTAGATCCCGAAATTCACGCACTTTATCTTTAACTCTACTTTCACTATGATTGTCTTCACAACCCGAGTCACCTGTTCACAGTCGGTTTTATATTTTAATAAATATGTTTGCATATATCCGTGATAAAAATGCATTATGAGCATCTCAGTGTGCTAAGAGTCCAGTCTCAAGTTCCAGTAGTAAATCACCTGACGATGACTGGTATTAAAATTTCTCTGTGGACTGCCTAATTCTATACGTAAGCAGTGTCTGCCTCTAGGCAAATTCCAGCCCAAATGGTGATAGTCTAAATAATCAACTACACGGTGAGTCTTAAATATTAATGAATCTTATCTTACTGTTCTATAACTATAATCCTGTGTTGTCAGATTTCTCGGAACCTCATATTTTAACTTACTATTGTTCATATATATAATGCTGCACCAGTATGCGCTATTTGTCGTAATTTCATTTATTTATATCTAAAAGGTAGACTATGACCGTCTAATTTCTTTGCATTTTTATTATTTTTCTCCAAAATGCTGTAACAGATGAGACATGCATGATGGTCTTCTGAAAGCAGTCATTCATACCATGACCCTAAATGAGTTGACGAATCAATGTTACAAAGAAGAAGCATTTCGCCAGTGCCTTGCACATGAAAGGGTGGGCGGGTGGTGATTGCTATTCAAAGGATATGAGGACCACCCTTATCTGTGAGACAGCACTCTACCGCTTAGGCTCCTGAGTTTGAATCACCTTCAAAATAAATGAATAACTAAAAAGAAAAGAGCAGTTGAAAACTGCCTAACAACCGGGGTTCAAATATAAACTCCTTGAATGCAAGTACGTGGTATGAGTTCACTACTTGAGAAAGACACCTAACTGTATACATCAGAAAAACAGTAGATATTATTAAGTCCTCGCTTCTCTTCTACGTATTTCACGCACTTTGACTTTTGTGTTTAACTCCTTTCTCACTCTATATAAGTGGTTAAAATTATCATCAGCTTTTTGCTGATGATCGCAACATTTGTGTTTACGTCTAAGTAACTTACGGATCTCTCGGTTTATCCAAGGAGGGCAGTGTTTCCGACCCTTTGAGACAGACCAAGGAATGAAAGGTTCAATTACTTGGGCGTAAAGTTGTTTAAATTGGTTCCATGCGGCTTCTACTTGAGACTCTGGATTGATGTACCAGTTTACTCAGTTGGCTGCTGAGACGATCGCATTTATGTCAACTTTCTAAACGTTCGGTCGAGCTGGGGTTTCGGCCCTTGCTGCTGTTGCTGTGAACTTGAAAGTGAGCACAGCATGATCACCTCTTCCTAAAGGAGGAAGATATTGTATGAGATCCACATCCTCACCATGGGAGAACACTAGGTCCAGAGTTGAGGAGGAGTGCTGCGAGTCATAGCGCATTGGCTTAATGATATGTTGGATTAGAGGTAGCGATATACTAGATTCCGGCAGTTTACGATCAAAGGAGTTGACTGAAGATGGAGTTGTACGGCTCCTCCAGTCAACTGTTGGGGCGTTGAAGTCACCGACTACGAGACTTCGACATTTCGAAGTCCAGGAGCCCAGCTTTTCTATTAGGAAGTCATCTGCGCTGCAGTCAGGACTGCGGTACATAGCAGTGAGGCTAATGTCTTGCATTTAAGTCTGCAGCGTAGAAGTTCGCACGACTCACTTTCGGTCTACCCTATTCACTTCGAAGTTTAGCAGGTTAACTGCTTTGTCAGTGACATCGTGAGCCATGTCTCTGTGATGATAACTACATCCGGGTTTCCGAAGTCTATCATGTTAACCAGCTCAGTCCATTTTTTTCAGCAGGCTGCGAGCGTTTGTGTAGCAAACTGTCAATTCGGCTGACCTTAAATATCACGTTCTAGAACAGCTGTTAAAATTTCACTCGCAAATTTTTTTGTCAATAATTTTTAACAAAATTTTGTTATATGTTATCTGGATTGATGGGAATTCCCATTTTCTGGCCAGTTTAATTGCAGTCTGGTGCTTCCCCAGTTGTGGCGCAATTCTGGGTGACCTTGAACAACGCGGACTTTCCCACCAAATACGGTGTTAGCTGCTGTTGATCTTGTGTGGACGGATGACAGGTACGTGTATGGGTTTGGCCAAGGAATATTACATTACGCAATCATTTTGAATGATTTTTTTGTGAATACCGCTTGTCAAATGGTTGTACGCAATGCAATATCGTTTTTACGAGCTAGTATAAACCAATTTGATTTCTTTGTGCTCGCCTCTTGATTGTGAGGTATAGGTTCCTGATCTTCGGTAAACTTCTGCGTAGCTCGTCCCGCCACTTGACTGTCGTAGCTTTGGTTGACTCCAAAAGGAGTATTGCTGGGATTAATTATATGTGGTTTGTAAAGACTGTTACTACTGTGAATGGAGTTGATCCTTTCACCAGTTAGTCCTCCGGTATCGTCGTCAAAAGAAAAGAGATAATAATAATGAAAGATATAATTAGTGAAGTTATTCAGACTAACAGACAGAAAATGAATAAGAAAACGTAACAACTATTCTTAAGTTAACTTATGAATGGTTAATTCGGCACCAGTAGATCCAGTCTGATCAGCTAGAATCTGTTCTTTAGAAATGAACTTCAATCTACTTGACTTTTGTTCCACATTACTGAGTCTTGAGAAAGTTAACATGAACTTATCCGATAGGAAATAATGTGAATCCTTTAATTTCTGCATACCTTCGTAAAATTGGTTATATCTGTGGCTGTTAGTTTTAATGTAATAGCTAAAATAAGCGTGATTTTACTTCTGTTTAATGTTCTGATTTTATCATTTGTACAGTAATGTAAGCGCACCGTAGTATGAGAAATTACATGTATCTTCACTCTTCACGTTTCTAGTGAAATGATATTTTTGACTAATGACTTCTCATTGACATTTGCTTAGTGCGACTGAATGTTCAAAATTAATTAAGTCCCAAATGATGTCTAAAATTTAGTGGGTTTGATAAGTAGTAATCTCTATTTGGGAGAAATATGTAGCATTCGCAATGCCACGAAGTTATCGTAAGAGTGCATCTGTTTACACTGATCATGCTAATCAGTTATCGGTCAAAAATTAAGTGGTAATGTTAGATTAAAATTCTCTGTACTTCGGATATATTTTGTGAGACTTCCATCGTCTTATGGACTTAGAATATGCAGATGACATAGTCCTGTTAGGGGAGGATGCTGACAAAACCCAGCAGAGTCTTTTGAACACCTTGAGCAGCAATCTTCGTATGTTTGGAATGCGATTCGCCCCTGTAAAATGTAAGATGCTGCTACAGGATTGGACTACGTCAACTCCTAGCTTAGTAGTGATAGGGAGTGAAGTGACAGAACACATGTTGACCACTTCACCTATTTGGGAAGTTTTATCAGCACCAACGGATTGATTGGCAACGAAATCTCAGCACGGAACCGATCCAAAATGCTCGAGCTGCTTTCGCTAACTTACACCGTCTCTCTGGCGTAGGCGTGACATCCGGCTATCAACCACCCAAGGGAAGTGTGTACTGCTCAGCAGTTCGCTCCATTCTTCTCTATGGCTGGCTCTGAAACATGGCCAATACGAGTTGAAGGCATAAGAAGGTTGACTGTTTTTGATCATAGATGTTTACGATCTCTTTCTCACGTTAGGTGGCATAATAAGGTAAGTAATGTTGACGTTAAGTTAGGCGTAGAGTGTTGGGCAAAGAGGGAAAATCAATCGACGAGGCTATAAAGTTACATAGATTGAGATGGCTAGGTGACGTGCTGCGCATGCCTAACCATCGCCTCCCCCTCCCGACAGCCATTACTAGCTGATATATATGCAGGTCGGAAAAGAGTAAGTGGTGCCATGCCAAACAAAAACATGGCCTCATCAATCCATGAAATCCTTGACAGTTAAACTGAGTCAGTCAGTAGTGAGGGAGATGCAGACTTCCGGGTTGGGGCCCACCCTCGGGACTCTAAGAATCATATGGCTGGAGACAGACAATAGGTGACATGGCTCAAAATCGTTGTCAATGGCTTACGCAGATGTATTCAGTCTCTTGTGTAATCTTTCATATTCCTTTCTTCTATTACTCATTCTGTTTTACTCTTATACTTGTCAAAACTCTATTGATTGATTCTCTTCACTCATCCATCTTCTTGTCTACCTTTGTGTGGTATTTGGAACGTGGCAACTGGAACTGCTGCACTTTGGTGCCAAGTTCTATGTGGAATCCAGCCAGCCAGCCATTTTGTGAGAATAAAGGACGATAGATATGTATTTAGGGGATGATTCATCATACGTGCTTGAATGTGCACATGTCAGTAGTACTAGATTTGTCAGGGGCTGATAGTTTTTAAAGCTTTCTGAGAATAGAATTTAAAGTGAACTTTACATCTTAAAAGATAGAAGATACATTGTAAACATCGTCACTTTTGAATTTTCTGGAAATCCAACTGCTCTGAGAAGCTAAAAGATGAGGAGAAATAGTGATGCTTATAATAACACAAAGTAATTGGAACAATGCCAATCTAATGTGGACGTAGAAAGGTAGAACAATAGCCCACATATAATAATAATAATCCCTTTATTCTAAACATTAATAAATATGGAGAAAAATCCTCATTCAAACATTTAGCGCTGCATATATTGCAATAGTTTATCTTTTGCAAATAAATAAATACATAAAATAGTTTTTACGAGTTAATCACGAATTGATATCAGTTAGAGAACCATTGAAAACCAGTTGGAAGTACTGGACAGCTGTTTCATCCTAGTTTGGGAATCATCGGCAGTACGCACCAGTGAGGTCCATCCTGATGTAACATCTGAGGATGGATGTCCCACCTACGACAATGGTTGGGGTCGTGCTAAATCACGAATTGGTAGAAGTTAGAATTCATCGGCTGGTTGGCCATTAAATCGGGTGGGTCCCAGTGAGTGGCTGAATGGTATACGAGCCAGCTAACTGGCCTTGTAACCGGAAGGTCCTGGTGGTGGGTGCGTACTGACGATGATTCCCAAACTAGTCTGATGAAACAGCTGTTCAGTACTCCCTGGTTTTCAATGGTTCTCTAACTAACCCTTACAAAGCAAACTATAGAAAACATAAAATAGTGAAAATAATAAAACTTCTAAAACTGAAGCTAACAGAAAAATAATATGTGCAATAGTAATATCGGTTATATCTTGCCGTTTATGTATAATATATGAAGCAGTTTTTAACAACTTTTGTTTTTTCCTTCATGCACCATCCGGTCTAATATAGTATGGCTGAAGCAAATTACACGCCACTTTCATCGATCGTTTTTTCCCAATATATTTTTGGGCGTCATTTAAATGTGGATGTACTCTGAGATTTATGATAACTTTACGTTTAAAGCTCCCCTGACCGATACCTGCTACCTTGACATGGTGGTGGTCGGGCTTGTACATCGCGATGACCCAACAAGCTACACTGGCTGGAACCAATGTTCCTGCAGGTCCTACCATGCCAGGAAGGTTGTTAGAATAGCGATTAGACTGAAAGAAGTTACCGGCATAGGGTAAGAATCTTTCCCACACTATGCTATGCTGGAGGTCTGTGGGCGAAGTCGTACTGCTGGGGAGCAGGGGTGTAACAGCTGTGAGGTGTTTCCCTCAGATGACCAGCATGCCATCCAGCTATGCTGTCTCTCCACTCTGGAGAAGAGGAGGGGGTTAGAAAAGTTCGACCCCATAAGTTGTACATCCCGACTTACCCTACGGTGATCCTAAACCGGTGGTAAGTTTACTAATATGGAACCTAACCAAGAAACCAGTTCATACAGGCCGTGTGTGACCAGCCGACCGGCCTCAAGCAGTTGTTCCCTGGCTCTGCGGTCACGCACAACCTGTCTCTCTTTCAGGTACCCGAAGAATCAGGCAACTTCTACGGTGTGGGCAGCCGGGAAGTAACAACCGCCCACACACTTCCAAAAGCACTTCCACGTTTAAAGCTCTGAGTTACGTGATCTTGTTGGTGCTGAGGACCAGTGATTAAAGACTTAGTTGCATGACCCCAAATCGTTCACTGGATTGCTTATATACTTACAATTTTACCGTATTCACCGATTTTCATTTAATCACTTCTCGTATGTTTATCAGTTGCCTTATCATTCTGCCTCTTGACTTTTCTGTGGTCTTAGAATGTGACATCTCGAACTGATACACTTCTAGGAAAATATTTCTCGCCTCATCTGTGCTTCAGTTAGTAAAAATCCTTCCGTTATTTATTATTGCTTCTAGATGTCTCTTCCAGAAGCCATAGTGCTTAGATTAACTTTTAATTCAAGACTGAAAAGGAAAGGTTACATAACAAACGTGTGTCTGTCCTCGAGTCTAATTATTGCTGTAAAGGTCTCATTGTTGCCTCAATACTAAGTGCTGCAGCCAACCGGATTCCTCAGCTTTGATATTTCTAAACGTGTGGTCTTAAATACGGCTCTTAGAATACGAGAAGCTTGTTGAAATTTCCTTGTTTTGTCGGATTGCTTTGTACAGAATAAGACCTGACTTCAGGGACGAGTTAGTTTCCCCAAAAAAATATGAACGCTACTCCTTAGTAAGTCAAGTCATCATGTGTATATTTAGCTTAGGTTTAACTACCTTTTATGCAACCTTTCTCTTTAGGTTTAATTGAATTTTAGATTTTCCCGTCCATTGATTGATTGATTGAACCGAAGTGTTCGTCGGTCTCAGGTTGACATGTCTGTTGGCTTCTTGTGCAGATACTCCGACAACGATGTCTGGGCATGTAATTAGAATTTAATTTGTGGATGGTGACTAGCAGTGGAATCCAGTCCAGGATAACGCGCATTTCGTCCTACTCGTCAGCTAACTGGACTTACCCGCATTCATCCAGTGAGTCAGTGATGATGTTCCCACCACGGAGGCTTGAACCCAGTGCCCATAGTTTCAAATACCAGCAGCCAAAGCGTTATCCACTGGACCACTTGGGTGGGCCACGAGAGCTGGCCACCTCTTGTGCAACGGGTCATATTAATTATTTAATTGAATTTTACATTTTCCCGTCCATTGATTGATTGGACCGAAGTGCTCCTCGGTCTCAGGTTGACATGTCGGCTTCT